TTTTTTTTTTTTCCGAAACGATAGAGGTATTATATAAATGCGCACAAAAAGAGCAGCCAACAGCTGAATACAAGCAGCCAAAAGCTGAATAAAAATGGGAAGACAGTCAACAGACCCCCTAAAGTCGTTCCCAACAGGGTAATCTTCGGGAAAACAACAAACACTAGGACACTAAAAAAGACGACCCCAACAGGGTAATGACAGAGACGACCCCAAGGGGGTAAAGACAAAGACGACCCCAACAGGGTAATGCCCAAGTGTGGAATCCCAACAGGATAATATAAGGTCACACTCGGGCTCACTGAGGTCAACGGCCCAGACCTAAAACACAAAGACAAGCACAAGACAAACACAAACACCTACAACAAAAACAAGAATAAAAAAAACTAAAATAAACTAAAAAAAAGATAGCCTTTCCCACAGCAGTGACACCAGTCCCAACCCGAGGCACCAGCAGAATCATGGACAAGCACCCACAGAGATGAACCACAACCTAGAAATCAGCTCCCGAAACTGCCGAAATGCCTAGCTGAAGCCAACATCTGAGGCACCGGACAAATCCAAGAAGTGAAAGTCGACCCACCGCCGGAGGAAAGTCGAACGACCCCCTACACTCTAGCTTCCCAAGACCCGACCAACACCACTAGCCTAGACCCAGCAACCACGTCACAACAACAACGACGGGGAATACGGGGGGCTTGAAACAACCCTACTCAGCCCCGGCCCACTCGACTCCGGCGAGTCGAGCAGCCTCAGCCACCCCCAAATCCCATCCAAACACCGAACCCACAACCCACTGCAGACGAGCCCACCACCGAAGCTCCAAATTTGAGCCTGCCATCAGCGAACCGAACTAGAAAGAAACCAAAGGTCAGCCAACCCTCGACTACACTGCCCGAAATCCGCACCTCCAAGCACCGACGTTTGAGACCAGAGATCCGCCGATGATGTCGGGGATGGGAGTAGAAGACGAGAAGAAATTGGAGTTGAGGGAGCAATGGCGAGCCATCCGCCGGCAGAGGGACCGACGAATTTTGCAACAAAAATGTTTTATAACATTGTTAAGAGATTATCAACAAATAATGTAAGTACTAAATAATTCTGTTGGTAAACTAGTAGCACGGCCAACAGATTAGTTACAGATTTACTAACAGATTACCAACAAAAATTTTAGCAATGGATTATCAATAAATATTTTGGGAACGAATTACCAACGAATAATTTCCTACCGGATTACCATCGGATTTTTTTCTCAAACGATTTACCAACGATATTTTAGCTCCCACAGTTACATTAGCAACGTATTATTTTAGCAATGGATTAGCAACAAATATTTTTGCAACGCATTACCAACATATATTTTAGCTCCCAACGAATTTTTTCCTAACGGAATACCATTGGATTTATTCCCAACGATTTACAACCTGATATTTTACCTTCCAACGATTATTTTAGCAACAGATTATGAACAAATCTTTTACCAATGAATTACCAACAAATATTTTAGCAAACCACCGGTAATTTAGCAATGGATTTCAAACAAGGCACTTACCCATGATAGATAAGGTTGTCAAAAACGGAGGATAGCTGGAGGGGAGTACTTTCGGGGATGTTATAACAATTTATTTTACTAAAAGTAGATCTGAAAATTTTAGGTGTGTAAAGGGTTTTTGGAGAAGAAAGGAGGCATTTATAGTAAAGGTGAAATAAGGGGGACCGCCTGATCAAAATACATACAAAGGTTGTAATTAAGGTAAACCCTAGATGCGAATCCGAGAGAATTGAGGGGTGGGATATATTAAAAGACAAACACACTGCACGAGACACGCTCTTTCAAATGCAGGTCAAGAAAAGAGTGGTGCAAATAGGTCGACAATTTTATGTATGAGACATGTCCCTTGGGGTGAAGGTCGTACAAAGTATCACGAAAGTGGGTCGACAACTTTACCATCATTCTTCCCTATAATAAGAGTAGCTCAGTGGACATGTCAAGATTAGCACAGTTTACGGACCGATCAAGGTTAGCTCGGTTTCAGGACCAGGGGTAGCTAAGATGGTGAGTTTAGAAGTAGCTCGTCAATACCCGAAGTTCATCTTAATAGGAGATCGGGTACAAATACTCTTATCTGTAACTCGACGTAAAAGGAGCTCAGATATAAACACCGTTATGGGAAGCTCGACAGGATCAGAGCTCGAATAAAGATATTAATATGAGTAGCTCGGTATAAGTGAAGCTCATGCATCAACGATATTATAGGTAGTTGGGACATAGATGTAGTTTGAACAACATATGGCTCGAAGGATAAAAGCTTTACCAGTCTCGAGCTTGGTATATGACATCAAAGGCGTATCTTAGTGGGGGAGCCGACCTATGGGAGCACCTTATACCTGAAGCCCAACATGTAGGGGCAATTATGTAAAGGTAGTCCACAAGGGACACCATCAGGGTCAGGATAAAAAAAATAAATGATCTAATGGAGGAGGACAAAGCATACTTAGGAAGCTAATAACCCTGTATAAATAGGTAAAATTAGGGAAGAGGTAAGATTAATCACCCTCTATACTTTAAGCTATTCCATACAATTCTATACGACTTTCCATAATCCATTACTGGCTTGATAGTCGAAGGTTTAACATGGAGTACACTCCCGGCGTCTTTGCAGGTCTCCGAGGAGCAAAATGGTTGAGGACCGTTGGAAGGCCGGTTCGAGGTGCCAGAGCACATCACATTTGATCAACTTCTATATATATGTATGTGTGTGTAACTGTGTATGTATACAGAGGTTGTGAGAGTGGGAGTAATTTATAATTTTCTCTAATGATAAATGTTTGTTTTGGAGATTAATTGGGCCCCTCAGATCAAATATCTAATTATGTCATTGAGGTTCTCGATAAAGACCACACTCATCACCTCAGTTATCAGTGTTTTATAAATATTTTTCTCTGAATCCCAATTCTCTTTCTACATAAACCCTCGTTGTAAATTTCACTGCCGCATCCTCCCTTCGAAGCTCTCTGTGACGTTGCGGCGCCAGCCGTCTCTTGTCCGTGCGGCTCGTCTCTCGAAACGTCGGCTGACCCTCTTCGGTGTAGTGTTTCGCCGCTTTAAAAGGTCAACTATGTCCAGGGAGTCTTCAGTGGGCGCCGAGGGTGATTGAGCAGCAGGTTCCCATCGTCTCCTGGAGCTGGTCGGTGCCGAGGTAAAAGAATTTGGGAGTCAGGTTGAGTTCGGGCTGCGGGCAGGAGGATGAGGCTTTGGCTGTATTGGGGGAAGTATTTCGGGTCGTGCTTGGTGGCCGCAGTGCGCGTTTGGTATGGGGGAAGAGGAGAAGCTGGCCTCCGATTGCCGATCTGGAGTGGTCCACTCGGGTGGTGATTTCGGTTGTTGGATGTGGCTTCAATTAGACGAGTTAGCTGCTTTTGGAGCTATGATGGGGTTGGGTTCCCATCCGTGTGGGTTGTCGACTCCGGGTGCTGTGTTCGTAGCGTTGCAATTTGTGACCGGTTGGGGAAGTGTTTGTTGTATTATTGTGTATTTTTTTTCCTTTTGTGTTGTTTAGGGTGTTGTTAGTGTGTTGTCAAATTCTTCTCGCTAGGAATGCGATTCTTCTCTTTGAGAGTGTGATTCTTTTTCTTAGAAGTTTGATTCTTCTCTTTAGAATTTTGATTTTCTCCTTGTGAGAAGGTTTAGTTAGTTGTGTAGT